GCTCTAAAATGAAAACGTTATATACTTAGTCTTGAAAAATTAAGGCCATTACAGATCGCTGTTTTGTACATTTTGTTTCCTAAACTGAACGTCTTTACGAGGAACTAGTATTAACAGAAAACCAATATTTTTGGCCGATTGCACATATAAATCTATAAAACAGGTACATTAATTCACGTAATGTTTAGCTTCGTATTTTGTATGTGCTAGTAAAAGGAAATGAATTCGGGCAAGTAAGCTCAGAATTTTGCTTGTTAATTAAACCGCAGTTATTGGGTTAAGAAGCAACGAAACGCTTTGATTAATTACGAAATTTGCAACTTTAAAATGTGCAAACTTGATTTGAATATAATTTACATAATAGGTAAAGGAATACAAGACACCTTTATGCAAAGCAGGTTCTCTTCAAAACCCAAAAATAATAATAATGGTTATCACGCAATATATTAAATAAACATTACTTTAAAATTTTTTTTAGAACTGTTTTTTTACAATCTACATCATTATGGAATATTAAATAAATGTGTTACTGGGTTAGCACGTTAAGGAGAGATATAATGATATCTCACCTTATTATATTTTGGTTTAGTTTTAAAGTAGGTCTTGGGACCAGGTTCTATCTAGTCCCATGTGCGTGAACCATTGTTGAATAATTCCCTCACTAGCTCATTTTCGTGGTGAATGGTATGTGCATTTTGTGACTCCGTCTAAAATCTTTGAATGATATTCAGCGACGATGGTTTTGCACGCAGAATAGAGGTGTGCTTATTAGTTCTTTTAGACGAACTAGTTCAAGAGAACTGTTTCACAAAAATGAACTAGTTCAGTGAACTAGTTCGCGAAAGAACTATTTGTAGGACCGAAATCGAAATTCAACCCTAACATAACTGGTTGCCAGATGTCTCGTCTCAATCATCACACAAGCTCGGCGTCGGCCACCCGTTTTCTTCGGTTTTCAGTCAGTCGTTCACTAGTTCGCTACCATACAAGTAGTTCGGAACTATCGTACAAACTTCTTTCGATCGTATGCTTAGGTTTAAATGGTTTAAATTATTATTATGATTAGTTAGTTTTTATTTGCAAAAAATTATTAAGATTTGTTTTTTATTAACCGTTTTACATATAAATATGGTTCACGTATGATTTATTTTTATATTTACATATACTTAAACTCATAGGTATTTATAATTAGGTTATTTCTAAAAGAACCTTTACAAAAAAAATCAGTGAATTTTCTAGAAACATTAAATAACACATTTTCATTCTCACTTTTACATAAAATTATATTTTATGTAAATGCCTCAATAATTTTAACCACAACTAAAATTTTTATTTCAAAATTACAATAAAAGAAACAACACAGCATGGCAACATCCAAGCCAATACATGGGCATAAGATCCGAATCATTATAACATTAAGATAAGACTTTATGTTATTGTCACATAATAAGAATTATGAATCTGTTATCTGAGGCTAATCGGCATTTTTTAAAACTAGTTAGTCCATCCATTCACAAAATAATAAATAGATGTTCTCATTCATTCATTCATTGTTTTCTTCTTTAGAAGTTAAGACACAATTTATAATGCAAATCGTTCGCAGTGAACTAGTTCTATGAAAATTAATGAACTAGTTCCATTAGTTCAGTTGAAAGAATCGTTCATTTGAACTATTTCGATGGTGAACAACACATCCCTAACGCAGAACCAGATAGTTTTGAGTATGGGTTTGTATAAAAGAATTTTGTTTTGGATGTTGAGTTTTGATTTACGTCCAAGGAACCAATACATTTGCCAGAAGTTTAAGTCGAGCTGTCGTTTTTGGACTAGTTTATGTTATGTTTTGCTATAAGTGAGACGTTGATCAAGATGAAGTTCAAGGTATCTAGCATCTATTACTGTTGGAATTCTTGTACTGTACATTCTTACAGATGTGCATGTGTTGTGGCGGTTTATAAATGTTATTTGAGTTGATTTTGTACTTTTCTCCATTTTGTGTAACAGTCACTGAGTATGTCCAGATGATGTTACAGGTCTTGTAAGGCTTGTATAGGATCTTCCTTTACAGCTAGTATTACCACATCGTCAGCAAAAATAGTGATTGTAATATTATTAGTCTCTGGTATATCGGCAGGCTAAGTTATAAACGCCCTAACAAAATGTTTGGCCAAAAAAACTTATCCCCTTAAATGGTAAGTTTATCTTAAATGGTAAGTATCATTAAATATTGTATAATCTATCTAATTAGCCTTCTTCGGTCCATCTTTGGACATAGGCCTCCCAATCCTTTTCCATTCTTCTCTGTCTGTCGCTACAGTCATCCATCTAGAGCCCACGTGCTTCCTGATATCATCTGCCCATCTCATTTGGGGCCTTCCTCTGCTTCGTTTATATTCCCACGGTCTCCAACTTATAAGAATTTTGTTCCATCGGTCTTCTTTTTGTCTTACATTGTGTCCGGCAAATCTCCATTTCAATTTTGCAACTTCTTGTCTAACATCCCTCACTTTTGTTTTCTCTCTTATCCACTCGTTTCTCTTCTTATCCATTAGTCTTATGTGCAACATTTGTCTTTCCATTGCTCTTTGGGTTTTTATGATTTTGTCCATGTTTGCTTTTGTAGATGTCCACGTTTGGGAACCATAAGTAAGAACAGGGAGTACGTATTAATTATATACTTTGGTCTTAAGATGCTGTGGATATCTTTTGTTTTTAAGAATGTAGCTTAGTTTGCCAAATGCCGCCCATGCCAGTCTAACTCGTCTCTTGATCTCTCCTGTTTGGTTCTCTTTGTTAAGTTTTATAATTTGACCAAGATATATATATATATATATATATATATATATATTATATATATAATCCTTAACTTGTTTTATTTCATCTTGTCCGATTCTCATTGTGATGATGTTTTTGTCTTGCTGTAATTCATATTAAGGCCTATCTTTCCAGCTTCTACGTCCAGTTCTTTCATCATTTCAAATAATTCTTCTTTTTTATCGGTTATCAATACGATGTCATCAGCGTACCTTAGATGGTTCAAGCGTTGTCCACAAATTTTTATACCTTTTCATTACATATTGTAGTATTGTTTTATATGTGATTCATGCTGGGTCAAATGACAAATTAAACATCTCCCATGGGATTTCAACAAGCAAAACGTTTCGTAATTTTATCAATGCAAATGATAGCTCTAGTGTTAAATAAACAGTAGTAAGCATTAAAAAATTAATTATAGAAACTTTGAAAAGTTCTGATGAAATGTCTGTTTTATATTTATGTGTTTTAATTTTACAGTTTGATTTGTTAATTTCGATAATAATAGAATAACAGCCATTAACCGGGTGATGGTTCAACTGCACTAATTATAATTTAAAAATAAGAATCGACCTGTTTTTATTTTTCCCACAATTTTTTCCACATTCTCAACAAAAGTATGAATTTATTGAGACTTTTGGGATATATATATATATATATATATTATATATATATATATATATATATATATATATATATATTATATATATATACAGGGTTACGCAATTTAACTGTTACCTATTTAAAGGACCATATTTTTTATGTGAAATTATTTTTTATTGATTCAAATGACAAAACTGTCTGAAAACAATCAAAATTTCAGAATCCACTCACTTTAGCTCGATGTGGCCACCTTTTGCCTTGACTATGACCTTCAAACGATTAAAAAATGAGTTGCATGCTGCACGAATGTGATCTTCCGGTATTTTGGCCTATTCACGTATAGTCGCTTTCTTCAGCACATCCATACTGGCATATTTTTTAGTCCTCACCTTGCTTTCCAAAATGGACCAGATGGAATAGTCCATCGGATTTACGTCTGGCGAATTCGAAACCCATTATGTGGATGAAATGAAGTGTGAAACATGGTTTTTTAACCATTCTTGGTTCACACTAGATTTATGAGACGGTGCCGAGTCTTGTTGGAAGGTCCATGGTCTACAACTAAAATGTTTGGGTGTAAACGGCTCTAAAGCAGCTGCTAAAACATTTTCCCGATAATAAGTTGCATTCACTTTGACACCAGATTCAATAAAAACGATTTGAGAGCGTCCATCGGGCGGTTACAGCTGCCCATACCATTACTTGAGATGGGAAATTACTTCGGGTGGCCGTTCGTAAGCTCAAACTTTCATAGGTACGTTCGGTCAAGTAAACACGATCATTTTGAGAGTTTATAAACTGCTGAATAGGAAAATTTTTCTCATCAGAGAACACATTTCCTGTCCGGAAATTCTCCACGTTCGTGCAGGCGTAAGAACTCCTTTGCTCTTTCAAGCCGAACTTTTTTTGCTTTGGAGTAAGATTGTGTGCTTTTTGGAACTTATAGGATTTGACCTTGAGCTCCTTTTTCAATATTCGTTGCATGCTTCGCTGGGATATTTTTAGTTCTTTGGCCATTTGATTATCTTCACGACGTGGATTTCGCTCAAGTCCAGCCTTCACTTTCTGAACCATTTTAGGTGATATTGCTTTTTTTTTTCGTCCACAACCATAGCGTTTAGCAATACTACCAGTATCATTATAACCAGTTATGGTGCGATACACAAACATTTGATTCAGTTTGAGGTGTTCGAGCTGATGAGCAATAGCTGGTTATGATTTTCCGGCCAAATATAAGGCAATCACACTATTACGTTTAAATTCCATTGCGCATAACTTTTGTTGTATGTATAAAACTTAAATGCAAATGATTTTGACGACTTATAAACATACTGTAGTGTTATAAGGCCAACTTTGACGTAACTGTCATTATCGATTTGCCAGATATATCGATGTGAAGTTGGTAACAGTTCAATTGCGTAACCCTGTAAATATATATATATATATATATATTATATATATATTTATATATATATATATATATATTATATATATATTATATATGTATATATATATATATATATATATATATATATATTATATATATATTAATATTAATATTCTAAATTTAAAAATATTTTCAGGCTAATGTTACGAAACGAAGAAGATGCTTTGTATCCACCTTGGTTCTTTACATGGGTCGACAAGAAACTAACTGCCTTTGCGTGGCCTCAAACGAGGGGAAATTTGGAGTATCTTTGGCAAATAGGTAAAAGATTTTGGTTTAATAGAATTTAATTACTTTTTTTGTTAAAAATTCAGTCTTACACTTATAGGTCGTAACAAAACCAAGACAGCCAAAATTTTATCAGTAGTATTTTGTCAAATATGTCTTTGAGTGCCCTATCACACGATAGTTCAAATACTACGTTCATTTGCTGTAGGTGTGGAGAAAATATTCCTTCAGACTTGATTCCAGTCCTAGAAGGTGTTCCTTGAAAGCCGCTAAAATTTTATCCGGCAAGGAATTCACGTTATCCTTTCTTTGTAGTTCTGTTGTTTGTCATATTTAAATTGTTCAAGAAGTCAAAAATATCACAAAGATGCCTACCTTGATTAACCAATTGGCATAATGAAAACTGTCTTTAAATTGAAATATTTCATCCCTAGCCGTTGGTGGATGTTATTGTAAGAATATTAAAATTTAATCCTTAAATTCAATTTTTCTTTTTAGAATAATTTCTTTTGATAGCCAACGCACATCGCAGTTTAAAAAAAGATGTCCATGTTCACTTTCTTTGCACAAAGCAGAAAATATTCTTGAGTTTAGTGCACAATATTGCATAGATTCGTACGAGCCCTGTCATAGCCCGTGCTCCATCGCTACTTAGTCCCAAACATTTATTCCATCCAATTCCATTGTCATTAATGTAGCTATCCATCGGATTTAATATTTTTCTTCAGCTTTTTTTCTTGAAGACAGAGCTTTACAAAATAGAGATTCTTCGTGAATAGTATTTTCAAGACCGTATTTACAAAACACATTGGATTAGCATTATCTGATATATCTGTACTTTCATCAACTTGCAAGGAAAAATAGTTACACTCCTTTAAGTGACCTATAATAGTTTCTACAATATTATCTACTATCTCCACAATCCTACGATTCACTATGTTATTTGATAGAGCCAGCGAATTCACTTGCTTTTTCTGCTTTTTATTGCATATCCCAGATGCTACTATTTTCATTGATGAAAGTAATAATTTCTCGGCAATTGTGTGAAGATAATCAAACAATTATTGTATAATAATATTTCAGCAATTAATTTTCATATTTCATAAAAAGCCAGTACAAGGTTTTCAGATTAAGCGTTCTGAGAAAAATTCAAAGACACAGTTTTTTTGTTTTTTGGTAGCTATTAATTCTGTCTTTTTATTTATAAAAAAATCTATTGGCTCACCACAGTATTCCTGACTCTTCAAATCTAAGTGCCACTAATTTTGAAGGTTTCATGGACTCATTTTAAAGTGCAGATTAACAAATAACACATAATGGTTTGTCATCAGTACTCTTTATAAAACCGAACTGTATGTAATCTTCTGAATATTGTCGGGTTGTTTGTTTGACTTTGTGTATTGTATTGTTATGTCCAAATTTACATGTATGACATTCTGCTCATGTCGGATAGGCCACAACTGACGAAGTAAGTCTATAAACGTTTATCACATATAAAAATTTTTCAACCATAAACTTGGAGTTTTTTATCCAAGTGAATTAATTTTCCTTTTTATAAAAAAACGTTTCTTGGCTTATTTTAGATGCCCCTGAGGATGATCTATTGATCGAAAGTACTTGGGCAAGATTTAATTAATTACTGTGTTCGATATTTGCCTTGTATACCATCAAAGTTTAATTATTCGAACATTCAACCTTATATTGAAATGTTTATTTAATGCACATTTTATTACACTAGTGCTACTAATAAAAGATAAAAGTTGATAAGTTACTATTAGAAACAAATAATGTGTAGTATTATGTAAAATTATTAGCAAATGATATTTGTAAATTACATAAAATTGTACGCGAGGACTTGTTGAGAACTCCTGGTTTATTCCGTTTGTTTTGTAAGATAGACTAGAGAACGCCATCGTTCACTGCATAAGACTGGCAACGTCTTGGCGAAATTCCCATAAGGTTAGTATTGCATATCTTCCTTGTACAGACTAGTCACCTTGAGACAAAGTATAAAGGACTGAAATCAGCGTCAAAAAAACAATCTAGAACATAATACCTTCATTCTCAGTGACCGCCGGATTGTTTAGATTTTGGTACATAACCCATTTATGCTCTCACCTCTTCAATTAACATACATCGTGTATACTTTTAACCTACTTTAATACTTAAAACCATTTTTTTCTGCGATTTTTTTCTACTGTCATCATGTCTATTATAAATGATTGAGCGTCGGAAAGTCGGAGCCATAAAAAATCAATCAATTGATGAAATTATTGCGATATGTTATAGGTAATTTAATAGCAGCCTGTTGACGATTTAATACGTAAATATTATTTATAGAAAAATATATGGAAGCTTTATTTTGATACTAAATCATGATATTTATATTGGGATTTGTGTATTTTTAATAAATCGATTTTGAATAAATGTTTTTTATATCAAAGTTACAACCATTATAATTTTTATGTTAATTTTTTTATGTTTAATTTAAACTATTACAAAATCAATACGTTTTTAGTGAGTAATTGTTATTAAGTAGATATGTTTGACCAAAATATGTTGTAAAAGGAGAAAGTCTTCCAGTTAATGTCTCAGGATGATAAAGGCATATAATAAGTACATGGGGGATTAGATATGTTTGACCAGAATATGTCGTTCTATTTCGTAAATCGCGAATCATGTAGATGGTGGATAAAGATTTTTGAATACCTCATTAAGGCTTGCGTTGTAAACAGTTACATAGTATACAAGATTACAATGAAAAAGGAATGAAAGAAGCCTTTATCACAACTTAAATACCTGTCGATTTTAGTCAACCAATTTATGTGTAATTTCACTTTTAGAAAGAAAATTAGGTACGCTCTAGGCGAAACAAAAGCGTGAGAAAATTCTGTTAGGCTTTCAAGCATAGGTGCTCATATCCCAGAGAAGATTAATACATACTGTCGATGTGGTTTATGTACAAAGAAAAAAAAAGTAATATGATTTGTGTTAAGTGTAATGTGGCTATGTGTAAGGGATGCTTGGCACCGTTTCATAAATCTTAAAGCTTAAAGTGATATACAATTGCCAAGTATAAGTATTTGTGATTTTTAATATATCATTGTATGTATCACAATATATTTTTCATTAGTGGGAAATTATTATCCACTTAAATTTATATGAAAGCAGAAAGCATTATAGTTTATTGGTATAAATTATTCCCAACCCAAATACAAATATTTTTTTGTTATAATTTGTAAACAACGTAAACAACGGTTGTTTTTAGCTCATTTCACAATTCAAGCCAAAATATCTTAAAAAATGTAATTGCCAGTCTCTTTTTAATCCGGTGTTGTTTCATGTTTTTTTTATTTTATGTTCTATTCTTTTTATATATCGTATTTTTAGAAAAAAAGTTGTATACAAATGTTTAAACCACAAATTAAATGAAGAATAAAATAGAATTCCGCTCTATCGTAATAAAGCTATCGTAAATAAATGAATCCTCTCTTAAGAATTGCGATTTTGCGCCAAAGAATTTTATACGTTGTTACATAGGAAATATTGATTTACCGCGATTGAGTTTGAATTGTATACAATCTCTCAATAAATCCATTCTCTATTAAGTCAAGACCTGAAGATCGCCTGATCGAATAACACCAAGATTTATGAGCCTACATTTAATTATTTAAAAGACTGAGTAGGGTAAACTATATAGTGATTGGTCAGTATAGAAGGTGGATGCGGTTAATTTATTTTGTTTTAAATAAAATTTCACTTACAGACACTTAATTTAAGTTTTTTACTGGACAGTTTTTTCCTAATACAGTTCGTAAAGGTTTGATACGTTATTTATTGAACGTTCTCTTTGGTATTTTTGACACTTAATTAATAAATTGATGACAGTAAGAGGCATGCACATAGGTCGCGCAAGGATCTTTCACTGCCCGAAAGTAGTTATCAGCGTGTGATCTTATTGTGTCCTTCACGTAGGCGCGGTAGAATGGTTTAAATGAATGAACCGTGTACCGGCACTAGTTTTCCACTGTCGTGTATCTTGTTTTAGGGATCTCAGTGTGGATTGCGATAGAAACCATTCGTGCTGCCACTGACCGAACAATTTTTATTAAAAAAAAAAAAACATTTTGAGATCTGTAGATACACTCTCTCATACTTATTCAGATTCCGTACTTGTTGCTGTATCACGAGCACTTCTGTCTGCCTTTTCGTTGCCGATAATTCCTATATTCGATGGAAACTATATCAATTTAGGAGGCATGTTGTTCTCTTGGCAATTTTTTGTTTAGTTTATTTTAGGTTCTTTAGAGGATGTTTGAGATACAGATGCTGCATTGCAAAAAGAGAGCAGAGCGAGTCGGTAAGAAACAGTGGTTTTGAAATAATTGAGAGCTTTGCATGTTTTACGGCACTGTAGGGAGCAAATAGTTCACATGTGACTAACAAATTCACAGCCAATGCTATGATTAGATTTAGAGGTATCGGTGAAAACGTTTATGCAGTTACTCTCTAGGGAGGTAGTCTCACTCAATAATTTTGTTTGTTGGTTTTTTATTAGTAAGTTTGATGTAGTATTTGGAGAACTCTAGTACAGAGGTGTTCCAATTAGGGATATGTATTAACCACATAGCCAGATGTTGGATGTTACTGTGAAACACGATTGGGATTGTTGCGTCAATATTATTCAACATTGATCTTACTCATATGTATTAAGGTGTTACAGTACGAGGTCGATTAGAAAAACCGTGTAAACACTTAGTGAGAGCGCCCACCAAAGTGGCGTGGCAAGTGGCAAGTGGCAGGTAGCACGCGTCTAGCATGTTATTTAAAATGTAACCAATCCAAACGAATGATTAGAATGAATGACGTCACTGTCATTTTGGTGTGAACTGAATCAATTCGTTTTCATTGGTTACATTGTAAGTAACATGCTAGATGCATGCTATTTGCTACTTGCCACTTGCCACGCCAGTTTAGTGGGCGCTCCCACTTAGTGTAATGTTTTGTATTTTAGAGAATAATATTTGTTTGCCAACTCTTCTGATAACATGTGCCAAAGAGAACAAATGTCGATAAAAGAGAATATTGTATAGTAGAACTCCAATTATCCGAACTCCGACTATCCGAATCGCAGATTATCCGAATCACTTTCAGAAAAAATCAGAAAATTGTCCAAAGTCCGCGGCGTCAGTGTATGCACAAACACGTGCTATGAGTCACGGCGCACCTGTCATTGTTTGTTCAGTTACATTAGTCAGTGTGCTATTGACCTTGCTCGAAAACGCTACTCTTTCGCTACGGCTTACGTTTGTATTGTTTTTTACCATGGCTTCGAAAAGAAAACGTGTTGTGCTATCGTTAGCGGACAAACTGAAAATTATAGAGCAACTCGATAAAGGTGTAACGGGTAATAAGTTGTCTGAGATTTATGGTGTTGGACAAGCAACAATTTGTGACATTAAAAACAGTAAGTCAACACTTTTAAACTTTGTTTCGGTGCTTGAAAATGAAGGTGGAAGTTCCTCCAGGAAAACAATGAAGACAGCAACCAACAAAAATTTGGAAGATGCCGTGTTTAAATGGTTTTTGCAGCAACGTTCTATGGGAAATCCGATTTGAGGCCCAATCCTTTGTGAAAAAGCCAAAATCTTAGCAGAAAAGCTTGGTTATTCATCTTTTAAGGCTAGTAACGGCTGGCTAAGGAACTTTAAATTCAGGGATGGTGTACGCGAGTTAGATTTGGCTGGTGAGAAGCTTTCAGCGGACTCTGCAGCTGCTGAAAGTTTTATTGAAAAATTTAAAACTGCAGCAGAATCCTATGATCCGGAGTTTGTTTATAATGCCGATGAAACTGGCCTTGTTTGGAAAGCATTACCAAAAACCACTTTGGCTTCTAAAAGGGAATCTAGTGCCCCTGGACATAAGGTCAGTAAAAGAACGTATTACAGTGCTTAACTGTGCCAACTCCACTGGAAATCATAAACTACCACTTCTTTTGATAGGAAAATCAAAAAATCCAAGAGCATTTAAAAACGTAAAAAAAACTTCCACTCTTCTACAAAAGTCAACCCAAGGCCTGGATGACTGCAGCTTTGTTTACCGAATGGTATGATGAAGTGTTTATTCCTGAAGTGAAAAAGCACCAAAAATCGGTGGGAAAAGAAGGCAGTAAGGTGCTTTTAATTGTTGATAACGCACCCACTCATCCTACAGCAGAAACTGTTGGAAAGAGAGAATGGGCAGTTTAAAATGACGTTTTTTGCCTCCCAATGTTACAAGTTTGCTGCAACCCATGGACCAGTCTGTTATTGAAACAATGAAGCGCCATTACAGAAGGCAACTGCTGAGAAAACTGCTGATCAAAGGTGCTGAAGATGAAGAATTGGTTTTGGCAAATCATAGCAAAATAAATTTAAAGGACTGCTGTTACATGGTAGCGGAAGCTTGGAGTTTGGTTACGGCAGTGACGCTAAGACGTGCGTGGAATAAACTGAAAGGCCTACCGTCTGAGAAGAACAAAAAAAAAAAGAAAATGAGAAACAAGAAAATGGAGAGGATGAAGATGATGAAGATGCGTTGCCACTAGAGGAAATGAGAAAAATGATTGTAAAAATTCCTGGTTGTACAGAAGTAAGTGCTGAAGATGTAGGAGAGTGGATGGCTTGTGACACGTCTGACCCTGGTTTTCAAATTCTCAATGACGATGAAATTGTTGAAAGTGTGAGAGAAGATGTTGAAGTGGAAGTGGAAGAAGAACTTTCTGCTGATGTTGAAGTAGACGCTGGACCATCAGCTAGTGAAGCATTTGCCGGCCTCGAGACTGCTTTGAATTGGATGGAGCGTCAGTCCGAGTGTGACCACTTGCAACTGCTCACCGTCAAGCGAATGCGTGACCTGGCTGCCCGAAAACGGATGAAGAACGCAAAACAGCTTACATTGACGGAGATGTTTAAAAGACAATGATTTTTATTTCTAAACTTGTACGTATGTATGTATGTATGTATGTACATATGTACATTTTATTTACATTTTAAAACATGTGAAAATATCATGTTTCTTTCATTTTATTCAATTAAAAAATAGTGCAATATCAAAACGTAGCTTTTTTTCTCTCCAATGGCAATTTTTATTAAATAAACTCCGATTATCCGAATAATTTGATTATCCGAATGGGTCCCGGTCCCCATTAATTCGGATAATTGGAGTTCTACTGTATTGTGCTTTTTTTAATGAGAAATAAAAAGGTAATATGAAACTTATATTGTTGTTTTTTTCTAAAGAATGTTGTTCAGATATGGAAGCAAGAGTTCTAGGAATGTTTTGTGAAATAGATAATGCAGCATTATTTATTTTAACAGTAAGATGAAAATTGCTTTAAACCGAAGATTTTCTTTACTTTTTTCCAAACTTCACTCATTGGAGTAGAACTGTTTATTTCAGAAACGTATTTTGACCATGAGGTTATTTTTTTTATTTTTTATGATTAATTGGGCTCTTTAAGTTAACATAAAACTATCACATTTTAGGAATGCGACATATTATTACATTGTGTCCTGAAAAAATTCCAAACATAAATGAATCCAAATTTAGTTGGACTTATATACCAATCGAAGAATGTACAGCACCTAGTATTGATCAAATTTTTAAGTTTATCAGAACCGTCCAGATGTGTAGAAAACACGAACTGGTAAGTTACTTATGTCCAAAAATTATTTCAGGTATATAAGAGAGAAAATTTTGCTGGCACTACTTTCAACTGGTATGAAAGTTTGTTGCCTGGCATTTTCGCGAATTGAATTTTGACAGTTAAATCACGAGATGTTAGTCGAGTGATTTTGTCAAAATCTCATGAGCGAAAATTGGCAAAAGGTAACAAATTTAAATAAAACCAGGAGAAAATTTTGCCGGTAATTAATTTTCTCTCGAATGATATTCGACAAGACTCTATTGCATCATACCAACGAAACATAATCTTTATTTATTTTTTAACAATATTAAATGTACAATTATTAAAAGCTATAGTAGTTTGCCCATTCGTTTTTACCAAGGCATGCGTTTGTGTATTATTGACCAGTAGCATTTGGGAACTCGAAGGTCCAGCTCCACTTGTTCTTATGAGATGTTCGATCAATTTCTGGTAGAGACTGAGATCTAGCTGCAGATATGGTTTTAGAGAGCTTGCATTTGAGTGACCCGTTAATTTAATTAACTCATGTTCAGAAACACCTTGCTTAAACAAGGCTAACACAGCTGAAGATCGATGAGAATGGTTTGCTATTTTATGTTTTTTTGTGTCTATTTTCATTTTTTCAGCTGACATTTTTGTCCACTTAAATACGGTGTTGATTCTAGGTCTTCTTCTTCTTCTTTTTGTGCCACTCCTATCGGAGATTGGAAATCATTAGGTTGTTGACATATTTAGTCAAATTAGAAGAGTTCATTAGTGGTGCAGCCAAACCATTCTCTCAAATTCCGCAACCATGACATTCTTCTACGGCCTGGATTCCGTTTTCCTTCTATTTTTCCCTGCATTATATTTTGAAGTAATGCGTATTTATGTCCTCTCATCAGGTGACCAAAAATATTCGAGTTTTCTTCGCTTTAGCGTTAACAAAATCTCTGGGTCTTTTCCTATTCTTCGTATTACTTCACAGTTTGTTATTCTTTCAACCCAACTAATCTTCAGCATTCGACGGTAGCACCACATCTCGAAACTTTCAATATTTTTCATGTTGTTCTGTTTGAGAGTCCAGGCCTCTACACCGTATAATAGCGTGTTAAATACATAGCCTCTCAGCATTCTTAACCGTAGAGGGATGCTTATATTTCTGTTGCAGAAGAATTTTCTCATCTTTATGAAGGTGGCTCTGGCAATTTCGATACGTCTTTTTATTTCACTGTTTTGGTCTCCAGTTTCGTTTATTAAAGTTCCCAAGTATTTGTAGTTTGATACTTTTTCAACTTGAGTGCCGTTTATACTAATATACGCTGGTTGTGTCATGTTTTTACTGAAGACCATATACTTGGTTTTTTTAATGTTGATATTTATACCATAATTGTCGCAAGCAATATTTATGTCTGTAAGTAATCTTTGTAATTCTTCTACTGTTCTTGCAACTAGTACAGTGTCGTCCGCGTATCGAATATTATTTACAATCTCTCCATTAATTACGATTCCTCCGTTTGCTTGTAAAAGGGCTTCCTGACAGATGCTTTCAATATATACATTAAATAACAGAGGTGACAAAATGCAACCCTGTCGTACTCCTCTACGTATTTCTATTGCTTGTGATGTTTCAGTTTATATTTTGATGTTAGCTTTCTGATTCCAATATAGATTGAGAATTATTCGCAGATCTTTATTATCTATGTCCTTCCTTTCAAGAATCTCTCTAAGCTTATCATGGCGTACTCTGTCAAAACGCTTTTCTGTTCTGTCTGTCAAACGATTCTAGGTAACAGTTCTTAAACCAAGATCCATCCTTCCAGTTGAGGTGAACGCTAAGAAACAGTCTGTCTAAAAAAATCTTTGGTCCCCTTTTTTCTATTAATTTAAAAAAAATCCAACTGGACAAAACTTTTCGTTTGATGAATTTCTTACAAGCCATTTGCTGCTTGCCAAACTTTTCGAACCGCCTTGATTTGTTTTGGAAAAAATTCTGTTCTCCCCTAACATCAAATTCTTCTGGAAAAAAATAAATCTTGTAGTTTACAGTCTCATTGCCTCTTTAACCAAGTTCAAATGTGCAAATTTGTGCAAGTTCATATGTATATTTTTCGTGCTAAATCAGGGGTTTTCTCTTCACAGCTTTGGATGATTTTTAATAGTTTTTCTGGATATAATGCTTTTGGTTTGACTTTTCTTTTTTCTTAAACACTTTAAAGCTGCCTTCGCTTGGTATCTCTGGCCAATCTTGCACATTTGAGTGATATATCTGCAATTTTTATGACGTACTCTATAGAATATTTTTCTTGCAGCATTTTTGCTGTAGTATTCCACATTGACTTTGCGACGACCCTTTATAGTTTTTGCCATTGCCTTTTTTCATGTTAAAGGCATAATACTCAAGAATTTTTGCTGATTCCGTTATGATACTACATCTTTCAAGTGTAAAATTTCTCACCCCTAGGAACTCCAAAATTGAGTCCAAAGGGCTTCTGGACCTCTGCGTGTTCAATGGAAGATTTTGAAAAACAAATTTTTTTATTTCTTTATCTGACTGGCATCCAAATCTTAATTTTTTGTCTGGATTCACTATATCTGTCCAAAATTGAGGACGCTTCAATGACCTTTGTAAAACTGACAAGAATAGAATTACCAGACACCTTCCTGTTGAATCATAATTCATAGTAAATCATCATACTATACTCACAACTTTTAATGTATTTTCTGTACTGTCTTATTGATGTCTTTTTAGAAACTATTACAGTTTTTGAGTTTTAAAGGTTTTGTAGTGGTATTTTTAAAAATTATATCATAACTAAGATAACTTTGTTAACTGGAAGCGATCAGCTAGAAATTAAATGCTTTACACACTTTTAAAATATTTATCTTTTACAAAATATATCAGTCTTTTGCAATTAATAATAGTATATTACTTTATGAGGCGGAGAAGCATGACTTTTCTTGATGCGCTCGATATTGACTTGGCGCGCCTTGAGGGCAAGTCAAGAAAAGTCGCTTCTTTGCCGAATAAAGTATACTATTTTTTCTTCAAACGTAGCAATTTTCAACCATAAATAGTATAATTCATACGCTATTTTTACTCGAAATTAACTATGACAACTATCAAAGTCGTCTAGATGTTAGAAATTAAAATAATTAAATCGTTGGTGGGATTTGCGTCTCCCTGGTTACAGTTGTTTGACAGTTGTTTGCAATTATTAAAAACAGCTTATTGTTGTTGCAACCGCAAGCGCAAATTTAGTGCGAAAATGGAAAACCTAAACGAAATTGAGTCCGCGGCTAATGATGCAGTAGCACGTTTGGGGCCTTCCAAGTCCGGAATAAAGTATCGGTTAGCGTACAAGCACTTCCAAGAGTGGTGCGATACAAGAGGAGTACGGCAAGTTACCGAAGTCGTTTTACTGGCATATTTGAATATAATGGAAAATGAAAATAAATGAAAATCTTCTACAATGTGGTCACAATACTCTATGATAAAATCCGTTAATAAATTTTTAAAGTTACGTGCCTTTCTGAAAAAGCAAGAGAAGAATATACTGCAAAGAAGTCTAAAGTTTTCACTAAAGACGAGTTTGATAAATTTTAGTTTGAAGCGCCATATAAGTTGTATTTAGGATTAAAGGTAAAAAGGTAGTATACTCTACTAAATTATAAAAATATTTCAGATTGTTTTGTTAATTGGGGTTACCGGCGCCTGTCGATGCGACGAAATGGTAAAAATGAAGACTGTGGACATTGAGGATAAAGAAAATGTAATAATTATCAAAATCCTAGACAGTAAAATACGACAAATTAGATCTTTTACGATAATTGGTAAAAACTAAAACTGTATAAAAAGTATGCATCACTGCGGCCTGAAAATTTCACAGAAAACCGATTTTTTATCAAGTACCAAAATGGAAAGTGTTACCGAAGCGTCATGGGAATACATTCGATCAGCGCAGTAGCCCAAAAAGTAGCTAGTTATGTAAATTTAAACGATGCAAGTGTAATGTAAGCGTAGCAAGTGAGTGAGAAGTTGGAATAAAGGGATAATGGAACAATAAGTAGCATAGAAAAGATAATAATTATTCGAGATAATTATTATATATTCCAAATTAAATAAGGGATAATTAATACAGTTAACTTATACATTTAAATTATACAAAGTATAAACAATTGACCTAGTTATGGCATTGTTTGATAATTGTTTAAACGTATAAAAAGCACGAAACTATTAACAACAACAGCCGTGACCCAAATAGGCACATAACGCCAAAACTGCAACTCAGCGAACCTACGACCTTGGTACTAGAACCGGCGTTGAAAGTACGACCACAATAAAACAAGAAAAAACGACGGACGCCAGACAGTCGGTAGTCAGTAGTCAGTCAATCAGTAGTGATAACGGGGGCGCCGTAACTGCCCGCCCAGGGCAGTGATCGCCGGACGCGATAGCGTCCAGTACGCGAGACAGTCGGTGATTTTCCGGGGGCCGGGTATCTTCTGTCAGAATTCGCGTGTAGTCCGGTTATTGTGGCAGCTCGAAAGTTCGCAACCCTCAACTGACCGAGTTCCAGAAGACTGAACGTGTCGTGGTTGAAGCCCTAATATACACATAAGGTAACAGATTTCTTATACTAACCTGTGTAATTATATTTGTACCTCTGTCAACTTTTCACTATCTTGCTACATCGTCTCCCGACGCGCAGAATAACGTGTTAACGATTGTATTAGGAACTTCAGGGTAGATTCAATATATTGTTGACTCTAATATGGTTTTTTTTTTAATGTTCCTTCGTCCGACTCACTAGAGACTAGGAGAACACGAGAATTCTGCGTATACATATCTCCGGCTTCCAAAGTAAGCCCATAACCTCTACTCTTTACAGGACCTGAGACCGAGGAGTTCTTACCCCTATCTCGAAAATGCCCTTATCACTCTCGTAAATCTGTCCCAGATTATTACATTGGTGACAGCGGTCCCGGTTTGGGGGAATTTCGGTAAATAGGGATAATTA